ATATCTTTTATGACAATTTTTTATACTTGAACCTTTGTGGAAATGATATTTATGTTTCTTTTATCTATATTATGATTAGAATATAAGTTGCTTATAGTATGTAATATATATCCTATCGAATATAATTGTATACTATCTAGAGCTCACTATTTCTTTAATGATAATTAATAACTTGTTAAGACAATATAGTTTGTGAACATAGTAATTTAATAATGCTATCCAAGTGAGAGAATGTTAGATTTTTTAACATTAATATTAATATTTATATTAAATTGTGGATTAGTATTATTAAATTATTATGGTTATATTGTTATTAATTATGATGTAAAATAAATGTGTATAATAATAATAATAATTATTATTATTATATAGATTTTGTAATTAGACTTTTAGGGTGAATAGTCTGTGATGGATTGGACTATTCTATGCGTCCAGTGAGAGGTTTCTGTTCTCATCTGATTAGGCTTATATAACTATTGCCCCATTAAACAGTTACGTGGATAATAGCAATTAGATAAGAGAGTAGTATACACTTACTCAAAATAAGGATTGCTTGTGACTCATGGGTTTTCATCAGGATTGCTTATGACTCGTGGATTCTCATCATGTACGCGTTTGACGCAATTATATAATTATATATAGTTAGAATTGTATTGAGTTGTTATGATGTGTATTATATATAATTGTGTTATCTTTAATTTTATATATAAAATTTCTACATTAATGTCATATTTTTTTTAAGTTTTCCAATTTTTATTACTTTATTTTATTTTTGAACTATTATCAAGTTTACATTCCAGTTTCATTACAAACTATCCTAAAAATTAGACTAAAAATTAAAAATTAAAGTTTTAAAATAAAAAATATAAATATAAAATTATAAAAATAAAACAACTTAATTAACTAAAAAAAAATTATATACAGTATAACTGAACCTAAGCATTTCCCATGATATTGCATATAAGTTTGGTAAACTAATTTTGGTCACCCCCGTATACCCAGTCCATTGATTTGGAAGCAGATTCTTTTCCCTAATAACGGAATTTTATTGCTCAATTATATTATATTATATCAGTTGTCACTTCTGATTATGATCACATATATTCAACAAATTCATGACTACAAAAAAGAGACATCCATTGAAAATCTTATCCTCAAGAGTGTTTCTAAGCGATATACTCCTCCTTTCAAGTTACATCGATCAATAATTATGTAGTTCTAAAAGCTTTTGATATTGATTAATCCCATTTCATCATTAATGGGGCTTAATAAGTGTACCAAACCAACAAAATTTACGGATTCTTCTACTTTCGTTTGATGATATACTCAAAAGTAATACTACACTTTATACGTCAAATCAATAGTCATGACGCACTCGATTGCATGCACTAAATACATTCTTATCTAGTGATTAACAACGATTTACGAATCGGAGCCAACGATGGTGCTTACAATGTAATATTTCCCCTTATCCCATTCCACGATAACCACAACTCCCGTCATGGCCTCTCAGCCTAACTCCATGAGTCAACTTTATTACCCATCGTTTTGAAAAACTAGTTTACTTCTTTGTCTTGTTCTATTTGGATGATCGCAATTCATGACGTCGATTTAGAAGAACCTTCTTGCTACCTGTTGTTGGGAATTCGACCAGAATTTTCTTCTGGCTTTTTTATATATCACGTGTATGTATGGAGGAAAATCAAGTTAGCGAAGGCATCAAAGTTCTCCGAATTTTCTTGATTATTTCTAAACTAGGATAAAGTTAAAAAGAAAAGAAAAGAAAATATATAAAATAAAATAAATAATGTAGTACAAATGATAAAAAAATAATTTGAAAAAACATTTTTGAAAATGGGAATAAGGATAAGTAAATCCAGTTCAGTGTCTTAAGAGATTTGGAAGGAAATAAATTTTTTTTTTATTAATATGTGACAATAAATTCTATCAAAGATTTTAATATATCTCTAACGTAATCTTTTAACTAATATTAAGACATTGATTAGTAATGTAATAAGTTTAAATATACAATCTAAATCCCTTCAGCTCAAGATTGCCACCTGATTAACTTGAGCATTAAAATCATACTGTTCTTCAAGTACTGCAGGGGCAATTAATAAAACGCAAGATAAGAATAATTAGGTAGTACTTTGTCTTTAAGTGAAACTCTGGACCTCTATTTAGTAATCATGATGCCGAAGGCTTCAATCAAGTTAGGTGCATCACCTAAAACAAGCTACCTGCTTTCATTACACGAACACCACTTTTATCATTGCTGTGATGAAAAAATTAAGGCATTCACCAACCCTTGCAGCAAATGCACTTCATCCTTAGACCTATCCTTTTCCCTAGGGTTCTCAAATTGATATACTAGCAACAAAATAAGATTTTTTTTTACCGTATATATATATATATATACAATTATAAAATATTTTGGACCTTTTGAGGAACACTTTTTACGAAAGTAATAAAAGATATTTTTTGAAATTCATTAATACCAGCTAGCTAATTGATTAATACATATCTTTGTAGCAATTTGAAATGAATGTCAGTTACAGTTGGCCAGTTCATTTGTGTTTTATTATAATATTAATGATTCAGAAAGTTATATAAACTTTGTTTCATATCGGATTCTTTTCTTGTGATACTTTTTAAAAAGTATAACGTTAATATATTATATTTAAGTGATGAAACCTGTACAAACAAATCATTAATAGTATTCGATTTGCTATTTGCTGAATTAATGAACCTGCATGTGAGTCCAGGGCTCATGTTTTGATTGGGGTTGGTGATTAGAGTACTGAAGCACATGGTAATCCTCAACATTGCAACTTTGTGTTCCCTACTCCCAAATACGTATGTAACGCTTTGACAAGCTATGTCTCCATCCGTAGGACCCTCAACTTTTGATACCTCTTAATCCTATGGCCCTTTTTGTTAATACCCCAGTGGATCTGGCAACGTCTCTGCTGAGTCAATGTACTGATTTTGCAATTTGTAGCTTATAGTAAAGTGTTAAATAAATAAATTTGGAGCATTTACACTCTTTTCCTAACTTGGCATATCACTTCAAAGCAACAACGATGAAATTGAAAGGGTTTGGTTGGATAGCACAGTCAAATGATATTGTGAAAGTAAAACGGACGTAACTCACCACGACCTGTTCAAGCAGATGGACCCAACTCAATCTTCAAGGTAAATGCTGTCTATCTATAGTCACAATAAAACTCAGAATGAGTTGTAACAGTTATATTAATTTATTATATATTGTACGACGTCTTTAAATATAAGATAAGGTATCAATTCTTTAATTTTATATTTAATGTATACAAATAAATTTAGTAACAGTTAAATACACTTTCTCTAATTCTTTTTATTAAACTTATTTAAATAATTAAATTACATAAATTAATAAAAATAATTAAATAAATCATATTTATATTAATAGTTTAATTTCCATTAAATATAAATTACGCTGACAAACACTATTATAATGCTAATATGATCTGTTTTAGAGTAAATAAAATAGCAATAAGGATAATTTACTAAAAAGAGGTTCAACTAATAAGTAACACAAAAAATTGATAGCAACACATTTTTTTTAATATATTTTTAATTATTATTTAAAATATATTAAAAACTATCAAAGTACGAGTGAGAAATATTAATTTAAAAAAAGTTACTTACATTTGTTATAATTTTAATAAATTTTAATCAATAATAAAAAATGTGTTAAAAAATATATTGCTAGTATTTTTTTTATATTAACATTTAAATTTACACAAAATTATTATGGTAGTATACATACAAAACAAATATTTAGTTTATTAAAATTAATAAAAATTTAATTACATTTCATAAATTTATATTTTATTTTAAAAATATTTATAGTGTTAATTGTTATTTTATATGCTAAACAAATAATGTATCTACTTATGCCGATAAAAAACAAATATCTTGTGGACATGAATTTTATAATAGATAAGGATATATTTTTTATAATTAATATATTTTTAAAAAATTATTTTTATATGTAAAAAATAATTATATTTTCTTATAAAAATTGTATTTTTATAAATAAAATCTAAAGTAGTATTTATGAGTGATATGAGATTGTATATAAAAATGAATTTCACACGAGTGTACAAAAGTTTTGTAGCCAAAGCAAAATTTACAGCATTTGTCCAAATGTGACACCACTCATTCTGTAATTTATGTCCCTGCTTGAAAGTACTTGTTTTATGATTACCGGAATGTCCCACCACTTATTACCTTATTTTCATCAAGTTTGTTGCACCTCAGGGCCACTACATTATGAGTTAGTCCCAGGCCTCCAAATTTCATAAATCTTATAATTTATAATATAAATAATCATAACAACGTGAGCAACATTTATCGGGTCAATTAAATAAATAAAGCAATATTGAGAATTTTCTGGTCAAAAAAGATAACGGACACTAAATTAACTGCGAATCCGTAACTGTAAGCAAAGTAGGGCAGTGGATTATTGAGATTGTGTAATGAATTGAAACAGAGTGAAGGAGCAGGGGAGCGGGGTGGGGAGGGGCACAGGAGAACAGATTCTAGAGATTCCCGAAAGTGCCCAAATCGACGTAGGAAATGCCAAACTAGTAGTAAAATAGTAGGAGTAATGCGAGTGTAAGGAACAGATACCATGTGTCTGCAGCCGGAACCGTCTTCGTTGCACGTGCCTCTTAAAAGATGCCACGTCACCGCATGATGTTCGAATGAGTGGCTTCAAATCTGATGATGCCTCATGCCCCCAGCCAATTGAGGTTGAAACCGAAGCTTTTATAATAATAAGATAGAGAAACAAATAACCCACACTGCACACATTAAAAGAGCAAATATTTTCAGCAGAAAGCAGCCGCAGCACCACCTCCACTACCACCCAAGCACACACACTCTCTCTCTCCCTCTTCCCTCTTCCCTCTTCCCTCTCAAGCATCCTTTCAGTTTAGTTGAGTCCCACTTCACCAATGGGCGAGGTAGAGGTAGCTCTTCACTACCATTCCATTTCTTATTCTAATTTTTTTTTTCAAATTATCATCTTTTAAATTTATTTACTGGGTGTTTTGAATAGGAAGAAAAGAAAGCAGAGGAAAGCAAAGTGGAGGAGAAAAAAGAAGCAGGGGAAGCAAAGGCGGAAGAAGAGAAGAAAGAGGTTAAAGAGGAAGCCAAAAAAGCGGAAAAACCGGAGGAAACAAAGGAACAAGGTGCGCCGCCAGAAATTGTGCTTAAAGTGTTCATGCATTGCGAAGGTTGTGCTCGCAAGGTTCGTCGCTCCCTCAAAGGATTCCCAGGTGAGAACGACTCTCGCTTTTGTTTTTTTTCCCTGTTTTCCCTCAACGTTTGATTCTAGACTTTGTTTGTTTGTGTGTCGTGGATTTTTCAGGGGTTGAGGATGTAGTCACGGATTGCAAAACTCACAAGGTGGTTGTTAAAGGAGAAAAAGCGGATCCGCTGAAGGTTCTAGAGAGAATACAGAGAAAGAGCCATAGACAGGTCGAGCTTCTTTCTCCCATCCCAAAGCCACCAGCGGAAGAGGAGAAGAAGAAGCCACAAGAGGAAGAGAAGCCAAAGCCAGAGGAGAAGAAAGATGAGGTTTCTCTTTAATTCAATTTCTTTTAATCTATCCGTTAATATTATTTTTGAATTTTTTTACCTCTCGTTAAGTTTATTTTATTATGCAGCCTCAGGTCATCACTGTTGTTCTTAAAGTTCACATGCATTGCGAAGCCTGCGCTCAGGAAATCAAGAGACGCATAGAGAGAATGAAAGGTGGGTAAAAACTGATATGTTAATTCTCGTGGAATTTGAAGATTTTATTCTGTGATTCAGTTTTATTGTATAAATAAAAGAGAGTATTATTTCCACGCCTTCCGATTCAGCTTAAAATTTTTATTAAAGTCGTTGGTTTCCAGTGAAATGAAAGTGGTCCTGCCAGGTCAAATTTAATGACTTTAATATCATTTAAAATTGCATTTAATATCATATTCTTCCATTTTCAATTTTAATCTGAGTTTAGGTATTTCTATCGTGTCTAAATTTAATACACAGGTACCATTAATTGCAATAATTTATAATAAATTTTTTTATTTATTAATTTTGTATTACTTGCCTTTGTGGAATGTGTTTTCTGAAGAACATTTATATTATTTATAGACAAAATTTAAGTATTATTTTTTATTCAAATTAGAATTTTATCTTAATACTAAAGATGAAACTTTAATATCAATATTAATGGTGTTAATGTGGTTGAAAACGATGCAGGGGTAGAATTAGCGGAACCGGATCTGAAGAAGTCGCAGGTGAGTGTGAAAGGAGCGTTTGAGACAGAGAAGTTGGTGGAATACGTGTACAAGAGGACAGGGAAGCAAGCAGTGATAGTGAAGGAAGAGGCAGAAAAAAAAGAGGAAGAGAAAGAAGCGAAAGGGGAGAAGAAGGCAGAGGAAGGTGACAAGGGTGGAGAGAAGGGAAGTGGTGAAGGAGAGGAAAAGAAGAAAGAAGGGGAAGAGGGTGAGTCCAAAGGAAGCGAGGGAGGCACAACAGAAGAAACGACGAAGGTGGTGGAGCTGAAGAAGAATGAGTATTATTACAACCCACCAAGGTACGGCATGGACTTCTATGCATACCCTGGCCCAGGATACCCGCCCCAGATCTTCAGTGATGAGAACCCCAATGCCTGCTCTGTCATGTAAAAACTCACCATTGTCAGGGGTAATCTTGGAACTTTCCCAAACATTATGAAATTTCAGGGATTTGCTGTATCCTCAGATACATGTACCCTTCCTCTGTACTTTTCCCCCAATATAAAAGTGAATCTACAGATAAGCTGTAGAGTTTTGTAATGCTTCTACTTTTTTCCTAAATTTAACTGTTATATATGAAAATATATAAGTAATTGTAGTTTTTAAATAAACTTTATTTTACTTTTTGTTTTTTTAAGAATAAATAGCACTTATATCTTTTAAAGTTTAACAGAATTTGATATAATATTTTTTATATTATTGTAACTTATTCTAATCTTACATAAGAAATTACGAATAGTTAATGTGGTTCATGTCAGGAGTGTTATGTAATTGTATAAATCAAAGGAAGTTTGTAAAAAATTGATAACATTTTATTGAACTTGCAATTTATCTTCTAAAAATAATATAAATTTAATTTTTTATTTTCGTAGTTTATATAAATTTTTAGGTGTGTTTCTAATGTAATTAAAATATCAAACAATTTTGAAATTTAAGAGAAATAAATTTAACAACAAATTTAAAATATTATAAGATGTGAAATTAAGTTACTAAAAAGAAAATTTTAATCTTTTAATTAATTAAAATCATATATTTTCTGAATCCTTATGGACTTGAAAAGTTTTAAGAGATTAAAAATATAATTTGAATTAAAAAATAACAAATGCAATTAAGTTTCATAACGTTAAAATATTGTTTAACGTGTTTTGGCTTCCAATCCAATTTTTCCTTTTCAATTGTTATGAAATAAATAAATAAATAACTTAATTTACTTTCTTTTTTCTTCTGCTTCTACTTTATTCCGTGTTGCAAAAAAAAAGAAGAAAAATTTGAGAACAAATGTACTCGATGTGTTTAAAAATTACAATTTTATTATTTAATTTATTTTTAATTTAATTAAAAATAAAATTTATTTTTATTTAACATTTTATTAATAAAATATTGATTTATTTTGTTATTTATTTATATATTGTTTAAATTATTTAACAACAGATAATATGAATAAAATGACATTATGTTTTTTATAGTTTGTAAATTTAAATAAAAATTGTAAAAAAATAAATATAAATATCAGTATATCAATCATGTTCAAATATTATAATTATTAATTATAAATAAAAATTTATATAAAAATATTAAATCATTATTACAAAATTCATAACAAAATTAAATTTAAATAAATATAAATCTTTAAAAATATATTTTTTTAATTTAATTCTTATAAAAATTTGTTAATTTTAGTTCTAAATAATTTTTTTTAACAACCCCTATTTAACTAAAAATTAGTAAGTAATGATTAAATAAATAATATTTTACGTTAAGTATATATAATTAGTTCTTAAAAATATATTATTTTAAATTATTTTTATCAAATTTTTATTGTAATATTATTTAAAGAATACCTTACAACTCGTCTTTTTCTTAAAAATGTTTGTCAATATAATATTATTTAAAGTTGAAATATTATATTTTAAGAATAGTTTTTAAAAGATGAGTAAAAAAGTTGTGTTATATAATGTAAAAATATTAGCTTTATCATGTTTCATTTAAATTTATATTTATATTTATATTTTTCACTAATTAAAGCATGAATAATAGAGAATATAATAAAATAATTATTTTTACTTAGTATATTATAAATTTTTGTACTCATTTTATTTTTTTAAAATAATATTTTAATCTTAAACAACACTACTCGAAAATTATTTATAAAATAAATATGCAGTATATGATATCACTTAAATAAAAAAATTAATTTAAAAATAATAATGAGGTTTATTTTAAAAATAAAATTTTACATAATTAAGATAAAAACAAAAATTATTAAAAATTAAATTTAAAAATATAGATTTTTTAAATACTAATTATTTATTTAAGTCCTATCGTATTTAAAGTTAGTATTTCACGCAATAATTATTACATTAAACAATATTTATTTAATTATCACTTAATAGCTATCAGTTAATAATAAATTATTTTTATAAAGATTAATAATAATAATAATAATAATGATAAAAACATTGTTAGAGCTTATGCTTAAGAGTAACTAAAACTATTTACAACCGTTTGTTTTCACCCGTAGACTCGAGTGCACCACCCTTTTGTATATATAAACTCATAAATTCTTTTAAATGCTTTATTTTTATAACAGGATTGTTAGCCGTTGGTTGGATTGACCAACTTCAAAGCTTAATTTCCAACAACAGTGAACATTTCCAATTTCCATTGGCTGACTGTAATAAATAAACCATAGGTTTTTATTTGAAGTAGAAGACAAAAAGAAACACAATATAGGAGCCAACTCCACGACTCTTGATGTATATTCTTTCCACTAAAAAGTGTAACTTGGGGTTACCTTTAATTTTTGAAGTCAATGGCTTTAAAGACACATCAAATAACTTGAAGAAAACAATAAAACATCCTAATTTCCAGTGTGTTAAAAGTGAGTTAGATATGCATAAGCTCCCAAACAACAATCACTCGCTACTATTTATTAATAATGAAAGATAATTATATCATAAGCTTACATATTATTTTAGAAAAGTCTATGGTAGCCTTTTGAACGCCAAACAAAAAGTATTCCACTTCGTAGCCTATGTGCGAAAGAAAAAATATTAACATGTAGATCTGTTATAATATTTGACAATAAAAAAAGATATAATATCGTATTTTTATTTTTTTTCTTATTGTTAATTTTTTATTTACATTCAGAGATTGCCTCAAATATAAAAAAGAATACACTTTTGAACTTATATTACTGTAATAGTAAAAACAACATTTTGCGTGAAGAAAAAACACACGATTGAAAGCTATCTTCGGTTTCTAGCGTATCGAATCCCGTTATTTGCGTCGCTAGCGATGTGATTATTGTATCATTATTTTTGGGGTAAATGTTTCCACTGCGCAAATGTCGGCTTGTTGGCGGAAGGCGTGATATTCTCATTCCAACCAATTTTATATATTATGTACTTTTTCTTCATTCAATTACTAAAATATATTAATATATTATTTTAATTTTTTTATTATGAATAATGAAATGTAAAATCAAATTTTTTTATATTTTAAAAGTATGTACATATAACATTAAATTTAATTTATACTATCAAGACATTAAATAATTTTCTATTAACATAATTTTTATAAAAATGTCTTCATGAAAATTATAATACAGAATTTATATGTAAGAAGTAAATTTTTAAACACGTGTTTAATGATATATAATATAAATTAATATATAATTATTTTTATTAAAAAATTACACAATATATTAAATATTATAATTTCTAATAAAATTTTCTATTTATTAATTGTTAATATGTATTCTTAGACACATATTATATATATATATGTACATGCATATGTATATGTATGTATATCACGCATATTTATTATTTTATATAACGACTCATGCTAATAAGTATCTGACATTTGATAGGAAATTAAAAAAACATTATTGATGTATTTGTATAATAAATTTTCATGTGCATCAATACAATGTGATTTATTTTTTTAATTATTAAATTAAAGATACTTATTAACAGAAAAATTAATATAAAAAGATAAATATAAATATAAATATTTCTAATCTGGTATACTTTTAGTTATTCAAAATTTCAATAAATTTAATATGTTCCAAAGAAAGTCACAACTGAATTGATACGAGAGTTTAATAATGAAACAAGGTGTATCTACAAAATATATTTTAAAGATCAAATCAAAGTTTGTATTAGTAGAATAACAATAAATAATAATTTGAGTACTTGGATATAAAATATCTTACTTGTTATACGGCATTCGAGTGAAGTTTATGACATGACAACAAGTTTACTTGATATGCTATGGCGTGATAAATGTCAAAGAGTTTAGTAGTGTTGTGATTATGGGTGTTGTTTGTGATTATTGTCTTATAATTTTTGAAGATTTTAGTAACCTTAAATATTAGGCTCAAGTCAATTAGCCCACGCATCAATTCTATGGAAAATAATTTTAAACGAAAAAACACCTAACTTTATTTTTTTTTCGTTTAAATTATAGTACTCAACTGGCATAGGTTTCACTTAAATTCTTGAAAATGGCACTTTTTGGAAGACCGCACTCCTAGTCCTCAAAATCAAACCCGAGTCAGAAACAAACTGAACGGTTTTTTCATCCCAAGTGGTAGTTCTCTTTTTCCCACGTAGATTATAAAATCACTTTATAATGAGCAGCTCAAAAGTTCACCGAGTTGGATAAGACGGAGAGTATTGATCAAAATTTTGGGAAAGCTCAAAACTTAAAAGCATCTTCATTATTATCTTTCTTTCATGCTCTGCGTGGTATTATAAGCCAATTTGCTGTCGAAATGGCTCTCCCATTATTTCATTTCCATGCCTCACGCCTGTTCTGGGTTCCTGCATTGCTTTTCTTTGGTTTTTTTTATAAAAGAAATATCATAACTTTTATTGTAAGAATTAATAAAATATTAACTTTAAACGACTAATAATATTATTAAAAATATTTATTACATTTTTATGTCTTTAATATATAAATATTTTGAATAAAATACTTGATATTATCGGAGATGACGGAATGTTATAGTTCTGCTTTTGCTCAGCTGGGCAACACCGCTCTTCCTGTGGTGCTATATTACTTGATAATTTTCTCGTGCATTGATTGGCGAGAAAAATGTGCTCTGGAAAAGAAAAGCAAAAGGAAAAAATGAAAAAAGAAAATTTCAAGTTGAACTCATCAATCAATTTTATGGCTTAAAAAAAGAGGTTTTATAAAAAAAGAGAGGAAAAAAGAAGAAGAAAAGAAAAGAAGGCCCTTGAGATCTGACAAAGTAGCTACCAGTAATAGTGGAAGTAGGTCATGGTGGGGGGTTTAGTAGACCAAATAATGTGAATAAAGACTCATAACTAGCATAATTGGCCGGGTATTTGCACATGCAATGCCTTTTGGTTAAGTGTGTGTTCAAAGTGGTATTGTCGAGAGTTGTGCCAACAAACAGTTTTAACACATAAGTTAATCATGTCATGGCAACATATTATTAGATTATGGAACAGTCTATGACTCAA